GACGGACGTGCACAGGTGCTGCTGGAGGCGGCCACTTGGAAATTCTAAAGTGGGCTCGTGAAAATGGGTGTCCGTGGAGTGTAGCGACATATCGAGCTGCCTGCACAGAGAACCAAAGGGAAGTGATCGAGTGGCTATGTGACAATGGTTGCCCTGGGTCTCCCCGTGAAGGAGACTGGGCCTCATGAATGACGCGTGACCAAGTTTGATATAGTCTCTAACAACTAACTTATATAAATTTATTGCAGTAAGCTAAAAATTGCCGGAGGTTTGCTTGTCAGCATCTGGTACAGCAGTGGGCTAGCTAGCTATCTATGCCTGGCAAGATAGAAACAGGTTTGCTTGTCAGCGTCTGGTACAGCAGTGTGCCAGCTAGCTATCTAGCCCTGGCTAGCTAGACATCGGTGAATGAATCCAGTGCACCGTACCCAGAATCTCCGGTAGAACCGATCGATCCATCAATCGCTTCGAGAAAAGCCACTCTGTTCAGCAAGAGTTCTTTTTCTTGGGTGCCACCGCTGCCGTCGTGTTGAGCGTTCGAGGACTGCTAGTACTGGTACCACTGTTGGTGATGCGACTGCTGTCAAAAGATTTGCTGTACTTGATGGGCGCCCGTCGACTTGCTGTTTCGTTATTGTTATTGAATGTGCTGTTCTTGTTGCAGGTCGTTCCGAGAATGTCACTATGAAAGTCATAGAGTATCTGTCCGGTCGAGTTGTGCAAATGTTGTAGATTATTGCCACTATTGTTGTTCTTTCGGTGTCGTCGAAAGCGTCGTGCCATGCAAGGTGGTGGTAGATTGGGACTGGCATCGTCGTCAATGCTGGACTTGCTCTTGCGAATCGTAGAGCGTTTATTCTGTCGCGTGGCCAGTTGTTGTAAAATGTCGTCTCGATCTTGATGTTTGGTGGTGGAACCGTCCATCATCTCGTCTTGAAGTTTCGAGCTGCTAATGCTGCGTCGTCGAATGGGGAGGGATGCCGTCATGGAGTGGTCCATCATTTCCTTTTGTTGCAGTTGTTTCGTACTGCTAAGGCTTCGTCGTCGCATGGGCAGGGATGCCGGCATGGAATTATCCATCATTTCATTTTGTTGTTGCTGTTTCGCGATGCTTCGTCGTCGCATGGACATGGATGCCGGCATGGAATTGTCCATCATTTCGGTTTGTTGTTTTGTAGTGCTGATGGTTCGTCGTCGCATGGGGATTGACGTCATCATGGCATCGGGATCCACGGATTTGCTCTTGCGAATGGTACTTCTTCGACGGGCTTGAGTTTGTGCTGTGGTTGGAATGGTTGAGGTTGGAATGGTAGTATCTGGCTTGAATGGGTGTGTCTTTGGAGGACGTAGCTTTTCATCCCACGTCTTGCTGCGGGGTGGCAGTGTTTTCTGGCGGCGTCTGGGTGGAAGCACCATGCGGTAGAGTTCCTGTCGCAAATCTTCTGTAGCACAGCGTGTGCCATGAAGCCGACTCTTGACTCTGCGCTGATCTTCCGCAAAGGTTTCCATGTAGTCCGTGAGAGAAGGAACAGAACTGGACTTGTTGCTGTTCTTGTGCTTGTAAAAGAGGGCTGGTGCCGAAGTGTGGTTTTCCACTTTGGCAGTGGGGATCGAGTTGGGGTTGGTCTGGCTGTTCATGGCACTTAGGTTGGGTATACTTGAAGTATTGATAGCATTGGCTGTAGTTGCTGTAGTGAGGTTGAGAGAGAACTGATTGGACAATCTCCTAGGAGTGGGACTAGGTGGAGCCAGCACAGGAGAAAAGTCTTGCAGACCCAACATGGGCATGGATTGATTTCCATAAGTTCTGACTGGTCTGGAGTAAGACAAAGACATGTTCATGTCCTCCACTTCACCGTCTTCTTCATCATCCTCACTATCACTACTATCAGAATCAGACTCATTGAAGAGGTCAGCTGCAGACAGAGAAGGCTCACTAGAGTTGAGGTTGGTCTTTCGACTGTTGTGATTTTTCTCCATGCCATCGTCGTCGTCGTCGTCATCGTCGTCGTCATCGTCATCATCGAGTAGACTTTCAAGGGTCGTCTCGGATTCATCATCGTCATCGTAGTCATCAAAGTCCGTACCGGTGCCGGTAGTAGTCACGGTATAGTCATGACCAGACTGTTCAAACGCCACTTGGACCAAAATCCGTTGCATTTCTTCTTCCAGCTTGTGAATGCTCGTCCGATTTCCAACGGGTCCACACACCACACTGCTGCTGTTGCCGTTGGGACAGATACTAGCACCACCACCACAGACACTGCCATGATGATTACAGAAGACAGTGTTCGAGCAACCACCGACCGTGCTGCGATGATGACGGGGAGGTTGACTGGGTCGGCTCTCTTTTCCTCGTTTGGCACTCCCAATGTCAGCCTTGAACCTCGAGTAGTCTGTCAACAGAGGTTTCTCTCCTCCCAATCGAGGCACAGAGACATGAAAGCTCGTCATGGTCCTTCTTTTTTTAAAACCGTTCTATGCTTTGTCAAGGGGCTGAAAGAAAGTGTGTTTGCCAAAAAAGTAAGTTGCAGCGTTGCTGGCACTTTTTTAGCAGTCCCGAGAATGGAGACAAGAAGCTGCAAGATAAAGTGAGCAAAAAAGCCAGTCAGAACCCTACTAAGCAGCTACTATACACAATGGTCAGAAACCACGAACAGTCGGCCAGCAGGGAGCATTTGTGTTATAAAGCAACGAGGACATTGGGGGGAGGATCATTCAGTCACATAAAGTCACAACGTAGCCAAGAATTAAACACAACTGGCACGGACATGCCAAAATACACCAGTCAATAAATCTGCAATCAGATCATGGTGGATGGCATCTCACCACTCCTAAATGAGTAGTCACACCGGATCTTTAGAAATGAGAAACCGCTTCTGATGCAACGCCGCAACTGCGTTTGGGGCGGTTGCTCTTTTATCGAACCATCTGGAATGGTACCAGTAGTCTAGCTTACCAGTGGACCTCTGCCTACTGCCGGTGCTCAAGCCGGTGCTCCTGTCCTACTTGCTGCGGTACTAGTACTATCTAGCTACTAGCTAGCTAGAGTAGCTACCGTAACTAAGTCTTGTTGTTGGGTTTATTAGTCTACCAAGGCCTTTTGGCATGGGATGGCAATGGATTTCTCCACCCTCTGGCTTGATGCCGCTGCTTTCGACCATAACCCGATCGAGAGTACTGCATTATTCGGGTTCTTTGTCACCAGAACTGTTGATAGCTGGCTGGAACATTTCCACGTCAATAATAAAAGGTCGGAAAGCTCTCCTTTCTTTGACCAGCAGCGAGAAAAGAGAAAATAGAAGATGACATACTGCTCCACTGCAAGGACTGTGTTGTCTGTTGTCCGTCTTGCAGCACCAGACTACTACAGTACGTACTAGTACTTATTGCTCGTGGGTAAAATAATTTGACCAGTAGAAAAGTAAAACCTTCCAACACTTTATCTTTATCGACTGTCTGATACCCCCCTATGCCCCGCTTTGTCGGGTCTTTGAACGTTTTCACCAATAGAAGCATACTATGCTTCAACTCAAGCGCTTGGGTAGTAAAATTTAATGTACTTTTCACTGGACTGTGGGGGTCCGATGGCGGAGGAACAGGCCTTCTTGCATTCATTCTGTTCAGGCAGCAGACCCTTGAACTACTACAGTACTAGTACTCGTTTTGTGGACAGCTCTATCGTTGCTTTTGTAGAAGGCTATCGATTGGTGTCAGGGGTTTTCCTTGGCCCGCCCCTCTGCCGCGGGTCTAGGTCGGCCGGGGCACCCAATGTAATGTGTGCTGAAGATCAAAGAGATCGATTCTACGCACATAGCTAGTAGTAGACTTGTGAGAAGATATGAGAAGATGTAAATTATGAGAGCTCAAAGTACTGGTAAGACCCCCTTCGGTATTGGCAAGTTCAATCGTTTCGATTATTCGGATGACATGATCCAAATGCCCAGCCAACACCTTCAACACTACCACTGGCACTATCCGGGTCTTCGAAGCTTGTTGATTGTGGCACCGTCTTGGTAAAGCTTGTAGAAGCACTTTTTCTGGCTGTGCTATTGCATCCCGCCCATCTATCGTATGATGAAAGAGATCGGTTCTGGATAGTTAGTCTAAACGTGTGAAGAGGTAAATTATGAGAACTCCAAGAGGAGCTAGTAGCGTACGATATGTACTGGAACTGCTGTCCCCGAAATGGTATGATGCATCCATGCAGATCATCATAAACATCACTTCCACAGCCAGAGTTGCAGAACTCCACACAAAAGCTAGTTGTTTATACACATTCACCACAGTCAGTTGATCATCATGACATCTCAGGCTCTAGCAGAGAAGGAAAGCTGGAAGGTGTTTGTAAAGGTTTGTGATCTCTCTAGAGCAGACTGCCATGCCCTGTGGAGCAAAGAGTTGGAGTACAGCACGATGGAGAGGCGGGGAGTTTGTTTGGGCTCCACAAAGATATTCAGGTCCTGTTGGATGTTGGCTTTAGTCATGCCAAGGCACCCATGATCCTCTTGTTTGCTACTTACTTGCTACACAATACTAAAACAACGAGCGCAGAAGAGCCTCTGTCAGCAGATTTTACCTTTCATGACATGCTCCAGTTCAACATTGAGCTCACCCAAGCACAACAGTCACAACAACAGCAACAAGTTTTAACGATGATGCAGCCAAAGCAACCACAAATGTTCGTGCAACCTCAGGAGCAGCAATTTATGCAGCCGCAGCCTCAGCCACCACAACAACATCAGGCGCCCTCCCAGCAACCGTCGCAGGTAGTGCAGCTTCGTCATCAGCAAACTCAGGTAGTGCAGCTGCCACAACCGGAGCAGCAAAGGGCGGTCTTTGAACGACAGGGTACGGGCAGCAGTACCAATAGCAAGCACAGCCTTAGCTTGAAGAGCTTGGCACCTGATAATGACAGCGGTGGAAGGAAGCACAGCATGAAGAGCTTGAACAGTTCATGGACAAAGATGGCCACTGATGATTTCAACCAGAGTGCGACTGAGTTCTCTCTCAATAATAGCGTCCACAACTTCAACTCCAAGGCCCACAAGTTTAACCAACGCATCGCCAATCATCAATAGAAAATGCGGCAACAAAAGGCCGATGCCATGGACAGGAGCACACACACCACCAAGTCATTCAAGTCAGCCCAGTCCACTCTGGATTTGAGCACCACAAGCCGATCTGTCAGGACCACAGAGACCATTCAAACCGCCGCCACCAGCTTGTCATCGTCGTCTCGTTGGGCCACGGATGAGACTCCCGGAATGCCCATCCCCACCACTGCCATCATTCAACAGGGTGTGGATGCCCGCAGTACTCCGACTGATTCTGAAGCCGGAAGAGAACAACCACAAGGTGCCTTTATCACAGGTGTGGCCCCACCGCTGACCCCGTTTGAACTAGTGGACTCTCACAAAGTCAAGTTCGATAGCACCCCCTGTCGCCCGCCTCGATCCGCTACTTCGAGATCTTGTCTACGATGAGCCAAGGCATTGGAAGTCAACGAAGACTTGACCGATTCGGAGTATGAGGATGATGATGAAGATGATGATGATTACGATAGTGACGACGACGAAACCGAATCTTCTGATGAAGAAGCAGAACGTGATGATGGCGAAGATAGTGATAGTGACGAGGAGGAGGAGGACAGCAGCGACGAGTCCGAAAGCAACTCCAGCGGCTATGATGCACTGATGGAAAACGATGACTTTGTAGCCGTCATTCAACGTGCCCAAGCAATGGCAAAGACCCAGCGTCCACCTTGTCCACAACGCTGTCTTACTAGAAACAAGGACCGCCATCAGCTAGAACAAGTTGCCCACCATGCGGTCAACAAGGGATGTCAGAAGCAGACTAGAAAAGGGAACAGAGCCGAGAAGAGCGAACCAAGCAGCAATGGTGACAATAACCTGAGCTTCAAGACACACAATGTGACGACACACGAATGGGTTTTGCCTGCAAATAAAGTTCTACCGATTTCCTTACAAGATCTCATCAGGGAGGCATCGGGAAATCCAGAAGTGGATATTCAACAAAGGATCCAACAGGCTCTAATGGGGCAATAAAGAGAGCAGTCTCTTGGCACTTTTAATGTATTAGAGTTTGACTGCAGACCCTTCTCATTATTACAGGCCGCGGGTGACCATTCTGCTGGAACGTCTGGGTGTCCCGGAACGAGGGTCAAGCTAGCTAGCTATAGTACTGCAGTACTGGACCAAGCTGGTCCGTGCCTTGGCATTGTATTGGATGTTTTGGTCACGAAAAGAAAATGAATGCTACTGGTGCAGGCTTTAAAACTACAACAATGATTGCTAGATATATACTTCCAGCCATCATCAACCACACTGGCAGCCACAACCACAAAGAATGCTGGTACAGTCAAAGGACAGTCCAGAGGGACCAGTACAGGGGTCCTGACTTGTTCCAATGCAGCTCCCGTTGATGCTGCAAATCTCAGCAGGAAGAGTTCCAGACAACAATGGATTCCCTTCCACAGCCAATGTGTGGAGTGTTGCCTGGAGTGACGACAGTTCGTTGGGCATGGTTCCAGTGAGGGAGTTGTTGGCCAAATTCAAGTAACCAACGCTTGTCAAAAAACCCAGCTCACTAGGAATTTCACCAGTGATGTTATTGTTGAGCAAGGACAACTCTAGCAGTGATGTTAGGAGACCAAGCTCGGTGGGGATTGGCCCTGTGAGGGACCTGCTGTTACTCAAGTCCAGATTCACTGCAAGATTGGTAAGGAGCCCATATTCAGTTGGGATGGTTCCAGAGAAGGCGTTGCCACCAAGTTTCAATGCTGTGAATGATGAAAGAAGACCCAGCTCTGTGGGGAGAGTCCCATGGAGTGAAGATCCTTCCACATCCAGCCTTTTTAACATTGGGAGACGACCTAGTTCACTTGGAATGGTTCCAGTCATGCTGTTGACTCCCAGCCCTAACCATTCCAGTGTATCAAGGTTGCCAAACTCTGTAGGGATTGTGCCTGTGGGTGGAGGAGACAGGAAGAAGGAATCAGAAAACACCGGGCAAAGCAACAACTTCGCTCATACAACTTTTGAAGCAACTCACCAGGAAGACTGCAGTCTTCAAAAATGAACCATTTTACTTTGGACATGTTCCCAACTTCTGGTGGGATTGTGGCTCCCTCTAGTACGTAGTTTCCCAAGAAAAAGTACATGATATTGGTCAGTTGCCAAATCTCGGTGGGGAGAATTCCACTGTGGCCATTGTCGTAGAGAGAAAGGCTCCTCAAGTTGGTCAACAAGCCAATTTCCGAAGGAATGACCTTTGCTTGGAGCAGGTCGGAGATGTCCAGTCCTTCTAGGTTTGTGAGTTGACCCACACGACTCGAGATGGTTCCATCAATTTCATTGAATCCGACGGAAAAAGTCTCGAGAGTCGTCAACATGTAGAGTTCCTCTGGTAGTGTCCCCTCCAGAGTGTTACCATCGAGCCACAGATGTTTGAACAATCCATCATCATCACAGGATGGTTCCTCTTCCAAATATACAAATTCTTCCAGGTATCCCGGGACGAATGCGGAATGAATGACTCGTTGAAAGGCAAAGTCTGGATTATTGAACCAGTCGCATTCATGGACCGAGTAGTTGAGCCATCCCTGATGATTGGCCCACATATCTCCGTTGGTAGCATAGTACAGAGTCGCCAGTGCGAACTTTTGAAGGATGCGTTGGTCGGTGTAGTTGTTGTACAGGGCATCATCGTCATCTCCGAGGAGCCATTGGAATGCCTTGGACTGCGACGATTCCGGGTCGGTTTGAATGGCCTCGACAGTTTCGGGGGGGAACAGGGAGAGGATGTAGTCCAGAGTCGATGTAGGAGCCTGCGTAGTATCCGCTGCGGATGTTGCGCCACTCGGAGCCGAGTCGTCGTTGTTGTCTTTTCTACCAGGCACGAGCACGGCCATGAGAACAATACCAATGGCAATGAGAAGAATGACTCCGAGGAGTGAATGGGTTTTGAATCGTTTCTTGCTGGCAGCATTTCGGCGATTGCGACCGTCAAACGGTTCCACGATCTGTGCATCTTCCGCATGTCCAAATGGCAAGCTCGGTTCGTCGACCAAGTTTGCCACGGCCAACCCGTGATGGGAAGTACTGTTGTGGCTGTTGTTGTGGCTGTTGATGTAACTATCCTGCAAGTGGTGGGGATCCAGAGCCGTACTATGGTCCTCGAAAAGACCGGCTCTTTGCTGCTGTGGTGGTTCCAGTTCCAAGCTCTCGGTATCGAACCAACCCGAGGCATACGCTCCAGGCTCCTGTTGCTGTCGTTGATTCGGTGGTGAGCTCGTCGTTCCACCGGTACCAGTAGGTTGCTGCTGATCCTGCCGCGGTTGTTTTCCATTTGCTTGTGCTGCAGAAACCCCTGCCTGGTCGGTAGCAGTGGAAGTGGTAGTGGTATCAGGGGTATCAGCATCATGGTGAGATTTACTCTGCATCCTCTGAAAATTTCCTTCTTCCGCAATCTTCTTACTGACTAGCTTGTCTCTCCTGTCAGTGTGAAGACTGGCTGTTGCTGTAGAGGTTGATGCGGGCGGCTGAGAGACCACAGTGGCCAAGAGCCCTTTTTGCCGAAAGGTGGATTCTGTGGAGGACACGTGTTGCGCCCCTGGCCGAGGAGTCTTGTGAGACTTTTCGCTCTCTACCTCCTCATGGTTGCTGTTGCTGTTGATATCCGATTGTGCTTTTGACCTCCCTTGTTCCTTCAGGGCAGCATCCGCCTCATCCATTATCTGGGTCACAATTCTCTGGGCTGTCGCATCTGCACTATCTTCCTTCTGGCCACTCTCTTGCTCTAGCTTATCAGTTGTCTCCATCTTGCTACTGCTGCAGTCTTTTAAAACCTTTGACTGTGGCTTCCAGGAGCTGTCAATCTTTTAATAAAAGAACGGCCAATGGACTGATGGATAGGTAGGCTTCAGGTTTCAGGTTGCAAAGAAGAAATGTGGGCGCAAATGTATCGTGGGTGTGCGGCTTCGGACCAAGACCGCTTTGCCACTTGTCTCACGTATGACATATTTACATGGACTCAAGTATGGTACTGTACAGCTACTGGTACTAATAAGAGAGACATATCTTCATGTGCCCATTGACAGATCCAATGGGGAATGGGGTAGTTCAGGGACTCAGAATAATAATTGATTTCGTTTACCGCATCAACCTGCTTTTTTTCTTTCGTGGGGTTTCCGAAACGAGCAAAGAGCGAGTCGCCCATATGCATGGCTCCCCAGGAAGCTGGCCTTTATACAGCTAATATTACACACTATGTCTCCTCGTCGCCACGACACATACCATACTCTAGAGTACTGTAGCGGTTGCTGACCGGTTCGCAGTTCGCGTGCAATGCCCGTAGGTTGTAACCGGACACGGAATGAAGGATTTTGAAACGATTGGTCAGCGCTAATGCATGCATGCACAGCTCATGTAGGATAGCTAGCTGTGGATATTTTTCTATAATACCGTGTACTCGTATGCACCGAGAGGTAGCTTCGCCTTGCTTAGCCCACTCCAAGCTTCTTTTGGCACCTCAGCTGGCTTGTAGTTGAAGTGACATCATTCCTAAAATGAACCAATCAAAGGTCTTCATTTGAATGAGTCACCATATCCACGATCAGAAAGATCCAAATGTAGTCGCGGATAAAGATATATTATCGAGAACCCCGTGTCAAGATCGAGCCAAAAAGATTGAAAACGCCACCCGTTGATGGCAATTGTTCTCTCAAAACCTCCACCGAAGAAGCACTCAAAGGTCCATTCTTTAGGATTGTGATTCAATTCTTATTCATCTCCTTTCATCCTTCACCATGAAAGCTTCAGCAACAATCCTTGGATGTCTTCTTATTGGCGTCTCTGAGTCCTTTGTGCTTCGTCCATTGGTTCCTCCAAGAACTGCATCTTGTCATGTCCTGAGTGCGACCAACCAACATCATGAATTCAAGCCAGATTCGTACCACAAAGGAGGGAACTCTCGTTACACGGCCCCAGTGGTAGAGCCTGCTCGATTGAATATGGATGGTGGCGAAGAAGAAGAGTGTTTGGAGCCATTTATTGATCATGCCACCGGAGATGAACTTTGCTGGAATGAAGAACCCACTCATCCACGCAATGTGATTGCCAACAAGGAAACATTGGTGGATAGTAGTAGTAGTATTCCTACGCGCTTTGTCAGTCCAGATGTGGCAGATGATTATCACAAGGGAGGAAATGCTCTCTACCAAGCAACCGATGCTCCTACCAAACTAGACGAAGAATGCGAAACTCCGTTCATGGACTTTGTGTCGGGAGATGAACTCTGCTGGAATGACTATGACATGACTGCCTAGCTAGCTACTCAGCTAGCTAGTAGGAGCTTTCTCAAGTCGGATATTTACCCTGATGAATCGAATCATCTGATTCATACAATCGGTTAAACTGAGCTTGTCAGCAAATCGATAACCCGGGCAATTACTTAGATTGCAATCTTTATAGATGAACTCATGATTCTTCTAGCTAGCTATTAATAGTAGGCTAAAGTACAATTCTGTGCATTGCTGGTACGGTGCCTGTGGGAAAAGTGGAAACCTACCGGTACGTTCTTGGTGACCGCCACACTATAATAGTGGACCACAAGCTCTAGCTAGCAAGACCAGCAATATAATTTTAAAAGACCAACTTGGAGCACCAGCCAGGGGCCAAAAATTCTCTGGGTGCATACAGCGATGTAGCTACTCCTGCGGCCGGGTTGCATTTGTAGGATGGGCGATCGTACCGTATCGTTGTTTGGTCTGATCGCCGCCGCTGCGATGGCTGCACCACATCACCAGTGAAGGAAATTAAGCGAAGACAAGCCACATCGCTCCTCTCCTCCACATACTGTACATGTAACACATCGGATTCTATCTCATCAACAGCAGTTTCAACAGCAAGAATGTTCGCGGTGGCATCAGCCACCTGCTCCCTGAAACCAATGCTCCCCGTCCCGCGCTGAACTACACGTACTTCACAAGCAAACGTGACCAACAGAAAGCGAATCGAAGAAAAGCCGCACCAGGTCCTGATCAATGAGTACTACTAGTAGACTACTCTCTACTCTCTACATTGTCATAGCATCTGAACTACAGCCTGGCAGCTCCCTCAAACCAGCCAACGGCAGTGTGCTGTGACGTCGCTGACAATGGACAGAATGGCGGGTCCGTCTGCACAGAACAGATGATTGCTGCTCTCTTGCAATTAATTGATGATAAGCCCAAGACTACTGAGTACCCAATTTGGCTGGACAGTATTATTTGCAAGAAGACCAGGTTGGCGGTGGCCACTGGCTATGATAGCTAGCACTGGCGGAACTGTAGCTGAAAATCGTTGGCAAGTTGTGGATATGTTGCAGCGAAGTTGGTTACGAGGAGTACTAGTACATGTAGAACAACAGCTACAGTACATGTAAAAACCAGCCTGAGCGGCCACTGTACCACTGGATCTTGATTGTTTATTTGGGGTACGGTACCGGTAACCTGTGCAGAAGGAATGATGTATGTGTCGCGTGTGTGCTGCTCAAGAACGGAAAGTAGAAAGTAGAATGACTCAGGGTTGCTGGTTCAATTAATATTTCATGAAATAGTTCAATTAGGGTTCACGAACCGGTTCATGAAGCGCACGTTCATGAAGTGGTTCATGGGGGGTTTGGGCCACTCATGAACTAGGTTCAAAGTTCATCAGAATACAAAATTTGGTGAACTTTTCCACATTTTTGGTTCATGAGAATTCTGCACCATAAATGAGGCAACACATGTCTAGTAAGCAAAATTTTCCTGACTTGCAAAGCCACCTTCAGTCCAACTATCCACCAGCTACACTTGAGCCAGGTTTGGTGACCCAATGTATCGGCGTTTTGTTCTTGAATACAAGCATACAGCCTGTATTTGCTAACCATAACCCTGTATTTGCTAACCATAACCCTAGGTTTTGGTTCACGAATGGGTTCATGAATTGGTTCACTGCTCGAAATTGGGGTATTCACGAACTGGTTCAGTTCATGAGCATTACGTTACCCGAACTTTTGTCATGAACAGAGTTCGTATCCAAAATTAGTTGAACCAGCAACCCTGGAATGACTTCATGTGAGAGTACAGTACTCTCTCTACTACTGTACCAGTACTAGCTACTAGTACTCTGAGTAGGCTCTGAGTTGTTCAAGCGTCCAAGCCACCGGCGGTGGGTAGCTAGACTAGCTAGTACCTGTGGCTGGACTTTCGCAGTACCAACTGATACCTGTGCCCTGTGCCATCAACTTGCTGTTCTAGCTGGAGTCTGAATGAGAACTACTGTACATGTACTATCGTAGCTACAAGCTACTAGCTAGTACTAGGCTACCTGGAAGCTAGAGTGGCTACAGTACCGAAAGGGCCCGAAATCGCCATTTACAAGTAATTCTGCTTGATATTTGGGTTTCGATTTAATATTTTGGTTTCGATTTTATATTTAGATGTTGATTCTATATTTATGTTTCGGCTTGATTTTACTAGTTATTTACCATAGTAATTTGTTTTCAGTTTTATATTTAGGTTTCAGTTTCATATTTAGGTTTGGAATTGATCAATTTAATTGGATTCTTAAAATCCTGATTCGGGCCGTTTCACCTGGCCACTTTCGCAGTACGTGTAGCAACTGATAGCGAACCACTAGCTAGCCAAGGCCACCACAGGAAGACTTAGTGATGACACTGATGAAAGCTTTGGCAATGCCACGCAAGCAAGAACGAGCTCAAGAACGACAGATCCAACAGCCCTGTTCGGAGAAACCTTCTTCAAGTGTACTGCTTTCACATACAGTGATCACCAGTGAGTCGACAAGAACATATCCACTGAGCTTCCCACTGACGAGTGGGCGTTGTGAGTACGAAGCAGGGTTTAAAGAGCTGTTTTAGTGTTCGTTGGTGGTTCACTTCCAGTCGCAACTCCATATACGTGGCACGCCAAGCCAATGCCGCCACTGAATCTAACACAGTGACTTCTCCGGGTCACACCGTCTTGGGTCCAGCTCGGTTTTGCTCGGTGAAATAGTTGGAGCCCTGCCTCATGAATAGTCTACTGGTAGTATCCCATCACAAAACTACTTTTCAGGAGTTGCAAACTCCACACAAAAGCTACCAGTAGTTGTTTATACTCATACACAACAGTCAGTTTGATCATCATGGCTCCTCATGCTCCAGCAGAGAAGGAAAGTTGGAAGGTGTTTGTGCAAGTTTGTGGTCTCTCTAGATCAGACTGCCATACCCTGTGGGGCAAAGAGTTGGAGTACAGCACCATGGAGAGACTGAGCTTGTTTGGGCTTCACGAAGATATTCAGGTCCTGTTGGATGCTGGCTTTAGCCATGCCAAGGCACACATGATCCTTCTGTTTGCTACCTACTTGCTACACAACACTAATAAAAGAACCAGTGAAGAAGAGGCCGTGACTGTGCCATCAGATCTTACCTTTCATGACATTCTCCAGTTCAACATAAAGCTCAAGCAACAGCCACCACCACAACCACAAAACAACAACAGCAGGTTCAATGATGATGCAACCAGTCCCAATGATGATGATGCACATGCAACCACAAATGTTCATGCAGCCTCAGCCACAGTCATACGTGCAACCGCAGCCACAGCCTTACATGCAGCCTCAGCCACCACAAGCGGTCCAACAACCAGCAGTGGAACAACCTCAGGCGCCATCCCAGCAACACACGGTATTACAGCTCAGCCACAGCAACCACCACAGGTAGTACAGCCTCAGCCACAGCAACCACCACAGGTAGTACAGCCTCAGCCACAGCAACCACAACAGGTAGTGCAGACTCGGTCACAACCGGAGCAGCAAATGGTGCAACCACCGACACCAGTTCAACCGGCTCCCGCAGAAGATACCCAAAGTCCAGTCGCCGCTGGCAAGAGCACATCAGCTTTCAGCTCTCATCTCGAAATCAATCGCCCGGTCTTTGTACGACAGGGTACGGGCGGCAGCACTGGCAGTCTAGGTAGCAAGCACAGCATGAGCTTGAAGAGCTTGGCATCTGATAATGCCAGCCGTGGAAGCATGCACAGCCTGAAGAACGGAAGCATGAACAGTCTCAAGAGCTTGGGGTCGGAGAGTGCCAGCCGGGGAAGCGTACCCAGGAGGAATGCGAGATGGTCATCCAAGGCCCCACAAGGCCCTAAAGCAACATCCTTCAACAGTTCAACGACCAAGACGACCAAGAGTACTACCGGCACTGGGGACTTCAATGACAGTGCGAGCGATTTCTCCGTCATGAGCAGAAATTCCAGGAATAGTATCAAGAGCTTCAACTCCAAGGCCCGCAAGTTCAACCGACGCATTGCCAATCGTAAAAAGAAGAAGGAGCCGCAGCTGCAAAGGTCCAATAGCAACGACAGCAACAAGTCATTCAAGTCAGCCAAGTCCACAATGATGGATACGAGCGCCACAAACATGTCTGTCAAGACTGCCCAAACTGCCGCCACTAGCATGTCATCATCTCGTTGGGCCGCGGATGCGACTCCAGGAATGCCCGTCCCCACCACTGCCGTCGTTCAACAACAACAGGATTTGGATGACTTCAGTGATGCATCTGACTATTCTGAAACCGAAAGAGAACAACCACAAGAGCCCTTTACGGCCCCACCGCCCGCTTTTGAACGAGAAGACTCGGGCTGTACCGTTAACACGCGCAAAACAACCAGCGAGACCAACTGTTATCCGCCGTACCGCCGTTGCTCCATTGGCATGAACAACAAGCCTCACCAACACGAGGAACCAGAAGAAGAAGAAGAGACATTCCACGACTGTCGCAACCTCAAGTGCGACAGCATCCCCTGCCCCCCACCACGATCTGCTACTTCGAGATCTTGTCTACGATGGGCCAAGGCATTGGATGTCAATGAGGACTTGACCGATTCCGAGCATGAGAGACGAAGATGATGATACGAATACGACAGCGATGACGAAACTGAATCATCTGATGAAGAAGAACGTGACGATGACGAAGAGGATGTGACAGCGATAGCGACGAGGATGACAGCAGCGACGAGTCCGAAAGCGATTCGAGCGACTATGATGCACTGATGAAAACGACGAGTTTGCCGCCGTCATTCAACGCGCTGAAGCAATGGCAAATGCCCAGCGCCCCCCTCGTCCGCAACACTATCCTGCTGCAAACAAGGACCATCACGAAGAACAAGCCGTCGCCCACAATGCGGGAAACAATGTTTGTCAGAAGCAGACTAGGAAAGGGAACAGAGCCAAGAAGAGCGAATCAAGCAGGATGGTGGCAATATCCTGAGCTTCAAGACACACAATGTGACGACACACGAATGGGTTTTGCCTGCAAATAAAGTTCATCTCTTCTCT